ACACACACACACACACACACACACACACACACACACACACACACACACACACACACACACACACACACACACACACACACACACACACGAGTGCAGCCTCCCAGGATGGTGAGGCAGGCTCCTAGAAATGGGTCTTTTCTGAATCTGCAGCGGTGAACAGATATTTGTTGTTAGACAGAGGAATAAAAAAAATAATTGTGTTTTTTTTTTTTCTCTATACAAAAAGCTTTCTCTTCGCTATAGTGAGTCACTAGATTATAACAAATAAATGGTGTAGAGAGCCGACAACAGAGAAGAGGAAGTAAAAACGAATAACTGACAAAGGAGGAAGGGAGGATGAAGGAGGAGGGGGGGGTATAGGCTGGAATGTCCACTGATAAACAAAGTGCGGGGCCTTACAACGGGGGTCCAAACAAGACACGGAACAAAGAGCTTTCCTCTCCATCACAGGAAGGATATATAAAAACAAACGGAGGCCAGAGAGAGCGGGCCGAGAGCACCATGGGGATCGTCCATCTTCGTTTTTATCAGTTTGTCTTGAAGATTAGGTCACCGTCCATTTTTCTAAAATTTTCTGTCCTTGTTTTATTTTTTAAAAAGTATCCTTTTATCCCACAATCAGCTGTTTTTCCACTGGCCACGTGTTCATGTAAATAGAAAACATATCTACAGCTTATGATACACGCCCCTCTCCGGCCGAGTTCTCAGGGGCTGCCGGGGCCCGACAGCAGAGAGGGCCGTCAGTGCCACCCCGTGCTCAGGTACCCCGGGCTGTGGAAGGGGGTCGAGGACGCAGGAGCGCCACGAGTCCCAGAAGGCATCTGGGAGGCAGCGGCCTGGGCCTGGCCTTGTTGAGTCTGTTGGGGAGGTGGAGGGGGAGGTGGGGGCAGTCCGGTCTGCTGAAGGGTTGGGGGGTATGTCGACGGGGGCACTGAAGGGTTGGCGGCGGCGCCCGGGTGCAGCAACGCCGGCTGAAAAGCCCCCAAGTTCTGAAAGTGGTGGGGCTGCATCTGGGCGCTGGTCGACGGGGCGGGGGGAGGCGGGGGAGGAGGCGGAGGGGGTGTGAGCGACAGCAGGGTGCTGCTAGCAGGAGGCTGCTGCTGGGAGGTCTGGACCTGCGGGGGAGGAGGAGGAGGCGGAGGAGGAGGAGGGGGTGCGGTGGTCAACATGAGCTGGTGCTGCTGGATGGGAGACGGCTGCAGGTTGACGTGCAGCAGGGTGGGGCCGGACAACGGGTGTGGGGGGGGTGGAGGAGGCGGTGGAGCCGCTGAGCTCTGATAGTGCACGCTGTGGGGAATAGTCTGCATCAGGGGCTGAGAACCGGGAGGGTAAGGAGGGGTGACGGCAGGTTTAAACCCAGAGAAAGGTCCGGCGGGTGAGGGGCTCTGGCTGGGAAAATACGCCGTCGAGGCTGGTGGAGGAGGGGGAGGTGGTGGTGGAGCACTCTGTGCGTTATACTGGGGGAAAGGAGCTGGGCCAGTCTGAGCCTGAGGCTGAGGCTGGGTTTGAGGTTGAGCGGAGAACAGCGCCCTCTGGCTGCGGTAGGGAGAGCCCTGAGGCTGAGGCTTGGGAGAGTGGAGGAGGGAGGGTCCAGGGTAGTGGACAGGAGAGGAGGGTAACGGGGCAGGATGCAGCTTTGTGGGGGTCAGAGGAGCTGGCTTGGGTCCCGCAGGCTTGCTCGGCGGCTGACTGGTCGGATTTGGCGTCCGAGGCTGACCGTCACCGTCGTCCTCCTTCGCTGGCCGACTGGGAGGCTGGACGACCGGACCGGGAGAGCAGGGCTGTGAGGGGGGGGGGAGAGGGAGAAAGTCACACAGTTGTTGCTGACGAGCGGAGACGGGTCAGATCCACCTCGTGTGGGTGAGGTTGACTTACTGTGTGGGTTGGGGTCTTTTGAAGACTTGGAGATGGGCAATCTCTCAGTGCAGGTGTGTCTCCACCTTCCGTCTCACCATCTAGAAAATAGTAAAAATGTTGATGTAAACATAAATCTTTAAAAATAAATACTAGACATTTTGGGGAAAATGGCTACATCTTTATATTTAACAGTTAGATTTGAGAGTGGTAAGCATTATTCTCACCTGTGTCTTTGTCTTTGCTGAGCAGCAGAGCTCTGTGGTAGCTGCGTTCTCGGGCCTGCTCTACAGAAGTGGATGACGTCCTAAAAAAACAGAGGATCATCACAAAGTTCCTCTGGAAATCTGCACCAATTAATTAATTTGACCTCTATACACGATATCTACTATATACTAAATAAGCTAACATGAATGACAACTGGATAATAAAGGGTCCCTAATGTTTTGCTGTAGAAGTACTTTTGAAACATACCACTGTCCCTCTCCACCTTCCTTCTCTCCAGACCCCTCTGCCTCCTCACTTGTCTGGGGCTCTTTCACTGCGGTGGTGGCGGTGGTGTTGCAGAGAGGAGTGGGAGCGGGGGGTAGAGGAGATTCACTGGGGGTCTCTAACGCAACAGGGAAGGCGTCCACGGTTAAAAGTGGCACGGTGGAAACGGGAGAGCTGCACTCGGTCTTGGAGCCGCTGCGACGAGCTTCGCGCTGACGCTTCCTGTATTCTAGCAGGGAAACCTGTGAAGATGCAGAACCACCAACTCAATGTCATTCATGAACAAAGAGCACGTTTCATGTTGCACCAGTAGAGGGCAGCACTTGGGCAGCTACTGAAACAAAGAGCAGCATGAGCCAATTCATCTCGGAGAGGAAGTGACAGAAAACATTAACGTCACCTTATGTACGGCATTTCTAATACTGTTTTTCTTTGGTTAGCTTTCCTCTCACTTACATATTGTCCCAGCAGATATTTTTTTAAATAAAGAATATCAACTAGCCCTAGTTAAAATCAAATTTTAACCTATTTACAGTATCTATGCTATGCTCCAAGGATTAAGAAGTAAAAGTAAAATGTAATGAGCACTGCTCACTCACCTTCTTCTTCTGTGGGGGGTTCTGCGCTGACCCTCCTCCCTCACCAGAGCCTTCCCCATTCAGCGAGCGCGAGAAGCCGAGTGAACTTCCCTCCTCGGGGCCGGGGTAAAAGAGCGGCCCCTGGGCTTCACTGAAGGGCGGCTGGGAGCCAACCAATGGCACCGTCACTACTGTGGGCCCTGCTGCAGCCCCAGCTGCAGCCTCGGGCCTGAAGGGAGATACCAGAGGCTCCAGGGTGTGTGAGGGGGTGAGGTCCCTTAAGTTTGAGTTGACTGGAGAGAAGTTCAGGCCAGCTGGTCCAGTCGGGACTCTGTCTGGGCTTTTTATCCAGCCAGGAAAAGAGGAAGCACAAGTTTCTGCAGTTGAGGAAGCCTCATTAGTCCCCCCCTCAATAACCACACCCTCTGCCTTGTCCTCTCCGGAGTCCACAGGCTCGGCAGCCGGAGGCTGTGGACTTTCAGGAACCGACACCGTGGCTTCTGTCGGGGGTCCGTCTGAACTGGGAGCCCCGACACAGGGAGAGGAGACCAACGAAGGAGGACGATCGGCCTAGGAAAGGAAGGAGGAAGCAACGTCAGGGGACTGACATAACAAAAGGAACTCTTGTAAACAGTCAAGCCAGATAAGAAAGCAGAAAAGTCATCCTACTTTTAGAAAATTAACATTTCTCAAAATAAACACATTTGCTAGATTGGTCATCATCATTCGCGGTCTCTAGTGAAGAATCATAGATTGTGATTACAAATCAAGTTGTTTACCTGATAAACAATGAAATAAAATAATTATTGAAGCCTAGATATACATTTTTGGTTCAGCCTTCGCTCACCTCTTGCACACTGGGTTTTCGGCTGACCTCTGGGGAGCTTTCCACTGAAGATTCACTCTGTAACAAGACCAGATTTAGTCACTCCAGTTATTTTACTCACGTTAACAAATGTGTAGCCTCCAGTGGGGTTTCCACACCCTTACCTCCTGAAGGACATCAAGTGTCTGTGTTGGGGTGCTGGGCAGGGGCGGCTCTGTACTTGGCTCCTCCGTTCGGTGACGCGGTGGGGTAGCCAGTAAGATGGGGGTCCCGGGTGTCTCCGATTGGTCGGCCCTGGTGGGCGTGGCACAAGGGGAGCCGTAGGGAGTCGAGCTCTCGGACATGCAGGCATCGAGCGGACTCAGCCGCCGCTTTTTCAAAGGTGTGGGCAACTCTGTAGGGAGAAATGTGATGTGTGATTTAGCTGAGCATTCATCCAATATTTATAATGTTACACCAGACTGAGTGCTGGCTACCTACCTGGTAATGAGCAGGTACCGTTGTAGGGTAGAGGGCTGTCAGAGTCTCCATTAATGGGGGGGCTGAGCGGACCCTCACTGGGCATGAGGAGGCTCGGTCTTCTCGCCGGGCTAGTGGAGCCCTCCTCTTCTAGAGCTTGCTTCAACCATCGCTGTAAGAAAGAGTAAAGGGTCAGTAAGCCAACAATGGTCGCAGCTAAACACCGATAGCCTTACAGGCGTTTAACACAACAGAAAAGAAGAATCTAAGCCACTGAGGGACAGAAAGGCAGTGTCAACTAAAGACAGATCCACAGGTGTACGTTCTTCCATCAGTATCAAAGCCAAATGGGGATATTTCTAAAGCAGTACCTTCTTGCAGGAGCCGGTGGTTGGCGGTGTTTCAGGCAGTTCTCTGGAACGCCGTCTCCCAGTGGGGACTCCGGGAGTGGTGGGGCTGCGGTTGGCCAGGAATGGGGACGAGAAGCGGACGTAGTGTTTGGGGGTGCTGTAGACCTGTGGAGAGCCGGCCATGCCCGGTAGGGCGTTGAGCTGTGTGGCGAGTACTTCAGGGTCGCTGCTTATTCTCAGCGGCCTCTCTGGGACTGGCTCCGGGGTTCGTACTGCACCGTGGTCCTGCTGCTTCTCTCCTACCCACTCACACACAAAGTGCTGTGGAAAAGAGTTTGAGAAGATGCATCTGACAATCCGTAGGGTTTCCCATACATTGAATATGTTTGATATTGACCCAGATATCAGACAAAAGACCAAAATATAAACAAAAACAGTCGAGTATATCAGAAATCGTGCTATGGTACCTTTTTAGCTCTGAAGTTCTTGCTCCCGTTGCGGTTTCTGTCAGGTGCAGGTGAGCTACTGCTGTGCGGAGGGCTGCTGTCCGGGGCTTCGTCAGGGAGGGCCTCCGGCTCAGGCGCAGTGGCCATCTCTCCTTCGGGGGATTCATTGTTCAGAGGCTCCAGAGACTCGGTCGGAGAGCCAGGGGCCAAGTCGGAACAGGTGCTGATGGTGCGAGCTCGCCGGCGCTGTTGACCGATGTGCGTGCGGTTCCTGGAGAAACTCTTCCTGTTCCTCGAGCTTTTGACCTTGGCCGGCTTTAATCCCGGCTCCTCTTTCACCTCCAGTAGCGGCTGTGAGAAACACAGTAGAGTATTGATATCGTTTAAATTGATAAATTGATGCAAATCTACAAATGCAACCACAAACATGTCCCCCGTGGCCACTAGTCATATTTAATCATTGATAGCTAGTTTGATGTATATCACTGTTATGGACAAGCAAGTGTGTTATTGTTTTGTTGAGGCTGGTAGAACACAAGACAGTTTTGATAACTAGACTTCTGCAGTCAATTGTTTATTTAAAAAGAGGTTTTTGTGTCTCCATGACAGTGCATGTCATACCATACCTGCATGACAGTTGGAGAATCAGCCATCTCCGGTGTGACTGGAGGCTCCTCCTTGATGTCACTGCGGCCCCCGACTTCCGTCTTGACGCCGCCGATTCTTTCCAGGGCCTGCTCTCTACGTTTCTCCCTCTTCTCCATTCGGGCAAAGGCTTGCAGGATGGCCTCCATCTTTCGCTCTTCCCGTGTCTGCAGAGAGATAGGCGTGGGGTTCGAAAAGGAAAGGGGTGATGGACGGGAAGAGGGAGCGGAGACATTAGTCCATGGAGTACTACTCTCCCACGTAGCCCCAGAGGTAGCGATACAATGGTTAATGTGTTGCTACACAGCAAAAAGCCGATCAAGCTGTGCAAAGTGCAGAGCGCTGAGTGAAAGAAAAGGTGTAAAAGTGGCCCCTTGCTTTCACAATAAGAGAAACAATAAAAGTAGAGACGGTCAGGCAACAGGAACAATGTGGTGAGGATGTAAATGGACTGCATTTATACACCGGTTTTCATAACTTACTGGAAAAATAGCTTTACAATTAAAACCCTGACAAACCAGGAGGTTGCATGTCTAATGTGTTCCTACATGCATGTTTGTGCCACAAATAACCCCGGCTCTACCTCCACCAGTCAGAACACCCCATTGAAAAGATATTCATACCACGAAACAGACTGAAACAACACATTGCCGAAAGATCGGGCTGAAGACGAGACAGTTAATACGCTTGTAAGTCAGTCACCTCTGGGAGATTTGGGGGTAGATGGGTGGAGTAGGAATTGGCTATGAATGGGTCAAGTTTACCTCCTTGTGTTTCAGTCCCTTCCAGCTGGAAGCCGCCCCGACAGGGAGATGGGACTGCTCCGCTGGGTTGGCCTGAATGTTCAATAAAGAGACAGCCCAGTTTAGAAGAGACATGTCCCCCCTAAACAAGGCTTCACAAACACTGGACAGGGCTAGACTAGTGGCTCCCTGATCTGGTGGTACAAAACAGGTCTGTGTCAGGTACTGTAGATGTTGGACAGGTTGGAATTTACGTAATATCCTACGATAGACGATACTGGTAACAGACGTAACGCCACATAACTTACGATATCTAGGTTATGGGTAATTTCTGAAATAGCTGATGTTTTGACATTTTTGTAGTTCACACCTGCCACAACACTTCAAGGTTTTCCATCATTATATAAACACCTCCCTATATCACAATACAAGTTTAAACAGTGTGGTTTTGGGCTTTCTGGGACTAAACTTGAAATCGTGAGGGAAATATGGCAAAAAAAAAAAAATCTTTGGTCTTCAATCCAAAAACTGTGGTTGCAGATTGCACACTGATGAACATCCTGTTTGGAGCACAAAAATCAAAAGGACAAAACAAATTTGACTGCTGCTCCCACCACCAACCAACCAGAAGAATAAACTGGCCAGCACAACATTCTCTAAGCCCTATTTTTAATAATACATTAGGAAACAGAAACACACACGTGCACATGTGAGTCTGGCAATAAATAATGGCCAAAGATTGTATATTGTTTTGCTGCAAAAAGAAAAGAAAAAAAAACAACACATGTGCACCAATCACCTAAAAACAATGGGCGGTGGTGCAGTTAGCACTGTCGCCTCACAGCAGCCTCACACTCTGTTCGGACCTGCGAACCTGGGGCCTTTTCTGTGCGTTCGCTAGCTCTGCGTGGATTTCCTCCAGGTGCTCTGGTTTCCTCCCACAGTCAGACGGGAGGAAAGTTTAGGTTAATCAGTTCATCTCTATGTGTCAGCACTGTGATTGACTGGCTACCTGCCCAGGTTGTATCCCGCCTCTCACCCAATGTCAGCTGCGATTGGCTACAAGGATAAGCAGGAATAGCTAATGGTTGGGCATCAAAACAACCGTAACATTATTGTCCTTAAGGGTAAACTTCTCTCGCAGCCAGGTAGAATGCATACTTGAGGCATTCGCCGGCAGACAATGACCAAATGTTGTCTACACAGGAAAACCAGGAAGTCTTTTCAAACAATAAGGGCTCTTGTTTAAGTAGGCAAAATATCATGCCAACACACAACAGTGTTATCTCCCCCCGCGCCTTATCGCGGCATCGATTTTTAAACACCCACATGCATCTACTATGCTTGTGATCGTCAGTTTATGAATGCACACTTCTTTGATCCGGCAGCAGAGCTCTCTCCTGGGCCACATTCCATAGAAACCAGCCTATTGGATCTCCCAAAGTCAATACGGATCTGGCAACAAGGCTCTACCCTCTGCAGCGCCTCCTCTCTCTCCGACTCCCTCTCCCTCCCTTCAAATATCTATCCCTCTCTGGCCGATTAGCAGAACTGTATGCTGGCCAAAGATGAGTCAGCACTTTACACCTCGGGGTCCACCGTGTGAAATGAAGCTGACTGCGGGGTAATTTCCAGAGTGTGCGCGTGTGTGAAGTGCACGATGTGTGTGTTTGATACCATCTCTCAGGCACATTAGACTTTTTGGCAGGAGAAAGAGGGTTTGAACCAGTAATTGGCCATTTTAAACTTCAAGCCACAATGAAGGTGAGAGGAGAGCTATACTCTGAACTATAACGCACGCTGGGGGACAGTTTCAGCTTCCATTAACATACAACATACTGGTTTGTTCCCACTGACAGGAGACGGTGTTCTTAACAGGCATGTGGCCCTGAGAGGCCGATTAATTTTTTTAATATGCTGGAGAAAAAAAACCCGGCAGCAAATGAGGAAAATAAATGTCACTGTGTAATGACAGACAAGCACGAAGCCTCAGTACTGTGAGGAAGAGGGAAGCCAAAGCTGCAGAACAAAAAAAAAAAAAAAAAAAAAAAGAAAAAACTAAAAAAGACACAAGTACGACTGAGCAAAAATATCAACAAGGGCATGGACAGAGGCGGGAGCACTAGCAGTAGATAAGTGATGAAGAGGAGGGTAGTTTAATGGAAGGGAGATAGAGGACAGCTGCTCCTATCCAAGCCACAGGCCCCGTAGCAGACAAATGGTTTGGTCCACACCCAGAGCAACAGTCTCATTGTTATTGTCATTTTCTCAGCTGGGTGGCTGCATGGCAAAAAAGAAATTAGAAAAGCTGTAGCCCCCTAGCTTGGCACACTTACCATCTTCCTCCTCCTCTCTGCAATCTGCTCCTCTGACTCCATCTCTACTTCATTGCTAACGGAGGTTTTGTCTTCTAGATCCTCATATAACTCAGGATCCTGTAAGAGGAGGGGAGAGGGGGGTATGGCGCTTTATCATGGCTGATCAGTCAGTCTAGCTACAGACTAGAGGGGGGAGACAGGTAAGAGGGGAGGAGAGGGGAGGAGGGAGGGGAAGTAAACTGAAATATAGGAGGGAAGCAACTCTGCTACTTTTCAGGGGTCAATCTGTGCACAAAACAAAACATGCTCAGAACTCGTCTTTGGTCTTTCACTGTTGTTCATAAATGATGTTAATAAACACTCCATGCTGTACCAGCACCCTCGAACAGAATCAACCACTAAGCAGCTGACATGCCCTGCCTTTAGTATGAACATATGGTTGTTATCGGACTTTTACACATTGTTTATCTACTTTGTTGGTACATCTTTCATCTCATCATTCTGAAATTACAGCTGAGACATTTTGGGATGTCTAACCCACAGTGTTAGGCTAGTGACACACGGGAATGATTTCTTAATGATCAAAGCACCATATTTTGAAATATACTTCGACACTAACAACATTTCTGTGATTTCAAACTGCTTGAATGAACTTAAAAAACAATTTGACTTGGTCATGGCAAGTGAAATTTGCTTTTCTGGAAGAGACGAGAAATTCTGTTGCTGTTAACACATCCGAGAGAAACACCATTCTCCGAGTGTGTCACAACTCGGCCAGACAAATGGCACAAAAGCTTCTTGTGCAATGACAGTAAATCTGAACTATTTTGTCAAAATTCTTAGTTGGAGGGGGGAGGGGGCAGAGGTGGATGTATAAAGGGCTGATGGGGAGAAAAGAGGGAACTAAAGAGCATGTAGAGTGACTGACAATGGAAAACACATGCACAACACATTTAACAGAGATCAAACAAAATTGCATGCATGGACCACAAGGGTAAATGTACATCAACAATAAATATGCCATAGTGGACAGAGTCTCAACATGTAACATATGTATGTTACGTGTAAAAGAAGGATGAGAGTGGATGCGTTTCGTGTGCTGTTCATTAAAAGTGTAATCTTGCCTGGTTGTTTGAGATGGAGAGGCGGAGAGGAGAGAGTTTCCTCTGTTTGCCGTCGCCTACGCTCTTGCTCTTCCCGTCACAGTCCAAACCCATGTTCTGGTTCTGGCCCAGGTCGTCCCGGACAGTCTCCTTGTCCTTGCGACTCCCTCGTCGCCGGCCTCCGGAGCCCAGGTTTTCGGTGGGTTCAAGGTTGTGCTTGAGCACCGGGCACTCCTGGTTGCCCTTCACACAGGCACAGTCCACCTTGTATTTACTACAAATATGAAGAGAAAGAAACATAAAAGAAAGATGGGAAATGTGAAGTTAGGAGGCAAAAGGATCTTGCCATACCACTGTGGTTCTGCATGCTACTTGACAAGTTTACTCTCAGAACTCACCAGCTGCCATAGTCATAATCAAAACCAATGGTGATCTCTGTGCCTTTGGTGATAGGCCTCAAGGAGTAGATGTATAAATGCAGCATGCCGTCCTCAACGACGTGCCGCACCTGAGGACAGAGGTAATGCTATATTATAACTGTGCATAAGGGCTGACTTAATTGAAATGGGTAAGATTAACGTACTAAATCAGTTATTTCGGACGTTTACTTACTTCAGAATTCGGGGTGCAGGAGCGACGGATGAAGCGTGCCTCGTTGCCAAAGCTGCGAGCGTCCACACACATCTCCAGTCCGTCAAATTTGGAATAAAATAACACAAAGGGGTACGGCCTAAAAGGGGAAAAGCATGAATGTCAATTATTCACATAAAAACACCACACTGTAATGAACTACATTCCCCAGAACCCTTAATATCAGTTAATTGGTTTGAGCTGCAATATCCAATTTACATTCATATGAAATAACTCTAAGGAGAAGTCCTTCTGAAAAGTGACTAGTGTCCTGACCTCTTGAAGAAGTATCCGTTGGCCTCAAACTGCTGTCGAAGCATGAACTTCCCCCTGTACTCAATGATGAGGGAGTCTGGGGCCAAGTCTCGCACCGCCTTGAGGATCTTCTTGTTCTTCTGAACCTGACTCTGGAAGAGAGAGACACTCTGGCATGAGTGCAGATCCTGGACAAGGAACACATTAAGTTATAATAAAGTACAAAGAGGAAGCTGGGATGGTAAATTTGCTTAAATATAAGAAATGATCAGGGTATGCATGTCCTGTTCAAGGGATCATAAGAGTGGGTGAGTTTGGACATCTGACTTTAATGTAAATAGGTTTTTACCTCCACAGGCGGCTTGAAAGAGGCGGGGTGCGTGTTGTACGCCAGGCTCTTGCCATCGCCTTGCTCTTTGACACGCAACAGGACCTGGACGTCCTCACTGTACTGATTGCTGCTGGCCTCCTCGTAGCGCTCCATCCACGTCTTGAGTTTGTTCTCCCACAAAGACGGGTGCTCTGTCGGCTCCTGCTCCGGAGCAGCACCCTGAGAGAAAGAAAACAAAAAACACGACAGTCGTTGGTACAAATGGTTGAAGTTCTGATGGAAGACAACAGGACTCTGAGTGTTGTGTTCAGTGAGTTTACCTTTACTCTGGAGGACTTTCTGGACCCTTCTCGGAAGGCCTGCCAGACAAAGTAAAGACATCAAAAACTATTAATTGAAGTATACAATAATATATAATAAGGATGTAATACATAATGTGTTTTGATTTGGTTCATTATAAATGAACTGAATCTGACCTTCTTAGCTCGGGCAGAGGATGCTGGAGACTCTTTATCGCCACTCTTTTTACGTTTTTTATCAGTCTGCTTATGGCCAAGGCGCCCAGTGGTGAGCGTGATGGTGGTAGGCGTGTGTTGAAAGGTGGAGTAGAGCTCTAACGGCACCTCGTCTCCACTCTCTGTAGCACTGGTGTCACCATCTGAATAAGCAAACAAATGCATATTAGTTATGAGGAGGGAGTGCTGGAAAAAGATATAAAAGACTGCACACTGCTGCAGGCCAAAATAGAGAGCCAGCTGTGTTACAACAATGGAAGATGAGGTATGCTACAGCACACATTAGAAAAGGAGTTCGCGTCTTGTCCAGCAGGTGTCAGCGTGTCCCAGGCTGAGGAGGCGGCATCCTGACACAGCCTGCAACCTCCTGGGTTCAATAACAATCTGGCAGTTTACTGCAGCAAAGAGGCCAGTTAAAGCAGAACTGAAAGAGCTATCTATGAGCTCTAACAGAAAACTTCTAACCCCTCATAACCTGCTGTGGCAGATGTAGCTCTCAAAATAACGACCTTCGGTCTGTATTTTATCCAACTTCGTGTCATCATATTGCAACTTTGTTGAACATAAAGGTAAACAAAAACATTCTGAGGCAGACTAGGGCCTAGATATACATATGTGTAGTCTTGCTCACCAGACAAACACTCTCGTTTCCTGGTCTGCAGCAGGATGGCCCTCTCTCTATCCAGGTGTCGTGGTTGGCAGCGTTCACACAGGTAAGTCTCAGGAATGTTCTGCCTGTCGATGCCCATGCAGTCAATATGCTGCCAGGCACTGAAAAAAAGACAAAAATCACAGCAAAAGATTTTTAATACACTTTAAAATAAAAATAAAAAAAAATATCACAATTTGAAGTTGCTTCAACTTTGGGACACATGAGGAAACGCACGTGTGAGTCACCAATTAATTTAGATCATGAAGAAAATCTGGTCAGTTTACCTGCACTTGTCACAGCAGATCATGTAGCCGTCATCGTGGGTGAAGCCACAGATGCAGCGGGTGATGTCGGCCCCGTAGCTGCCATCCTCTGAGGTGCTGAGCGTTGTGCCCCTGGATGCTTCGTCCTGGCCTCCTGGAACAAACAACCCCCCCTCTCCTTGTCGGATCAACATGGAGGGGGGAGGGGAGGCCGGTGGAGTGGGTGGGGGCCGCGCCCCATAGTTATGGTCCTGATGGAAGGAGGGAAGATGGGCGATCACCAGGTGTAGGTAAATGACAGTTTATCATAGGGATAATTCAGCAGGGAGGAGTAGTAATGTGTGGAACAGACTACTGATTCACAGGCATATGGACAACTACAGATTATTTTCATTATCGATTAACCAATTGATTCTTTTGATTAATCATTAATCAAACATGAAGCCTGAGTTGATTATATCAAATGTCTTGTTTCATATGAACACTGTTCAAATCCCCAAAATACTTACTTTACCATAAGACAAGAAAAATCATCACATTTGAGAAGCTGTGAACATGAAGTGTTTATCACGTTTTCTTAAATTACTACCTGAACGATTGGTATATTATCCCAAAAAAACTTGCTGATTAATCGTGTGTCAATCAACTAATCAACTAACCCCTGCATTTAAAATTCCCTGCATCACCTATAATACTACGGTCCATGTTCTATGTTGACCTAAATGCAAGCTAGTCATACGCTCAATGATTAACAGAGAGGGAGGGCCGAAGGTTTGTCAGTTATTTGTCTTAGGGTGAGAAGGGAAGAACAATGTGTGTGTACTCACAGCGTAAGGCAGGCCAATGTAACTGTGGGAATGGTGAGAACTGCTGCTGTAGATCTGGTGTGGGTAGCTGGACTTCTCCACCACCACAGGGCTGGCCTCCACCGATTCTGGTCTGCTGAGCAGAGAGACAAACAGAGAGCACACATTACAGTACACTGACAAAAAAAAACAACCTCAGATAACAAGGTGTACACACGGAGTAATTGTTCTTCCTCAAAGTCTGTTAGGAAGTGTGTGCGCGGCAGTATGCTTAGCAGGGGAGCTAGTGCTGGCGACACAGAAGTAGAATATGGACGCATGCTAAAAACAGTCACACTGTCAGGGGACCTGGGGGCAGTAGGTCACTGCACACCCAGTGGGGCAAAGTGCAAGTACTTTAATAATGTACAATTCCAACTTGTACTTTGAGTATTTCCATTTTATACTTCCACTTTACTTTGCTAGACTACCATTTAAGGGGTAAGTGTTGCAAGTTTCACAGCTATAGTTGCTAAACACAAGATTTTAACACACATTAAGATATACTGCATTTCCCTACTGAACTTCTCAGATGTTTCAAGTAAAGATAAAAGCAAAGAAAGAAAAAAGAATATAAATTTGTATTGCAGAAGTCTCAAAATCTCTTCAACACCTCGGTTACATGGTCCATTTTCCTGCTGAACGAGTACTTTTGCTTTTAATACTTCTAGTACATTTTGTGATATGTTTGCTAAAGGATCTGAATACTTCTTCCACCACTGACTGTACCTGCTGTCATGTCACCTTGGCTGTAAAAGTCATGCCTGAGAGTCGTAGTAATAATACTACTTCATGTCAAAATAAATGAAGTCTGAACCTACATCCACAAGGCAGACAATCACTTCAAATGTGCTGTCTGTCATCCACACAAAACAACTAAACCATGTACTCAAAACCAGTAGATCCACTTTTCCCAGGATCACAACGCAGTTAAGAAGGAAGCCTGTTTGGCCGTTTGAGACCAACCCACCCTTATGATGACATGACTAATCTATTCTTCGGTTGCTGAAGGGGTGGCTCTAGAGGAAGAGAGAAGGGGAACTGCCATAACGCATGGCATGAGACAAGATAGTTGGGTGTAAAGAGGGAAGAAAAAGAAAGAGGGAAACACTTCAGGACAAGCACAATCCACTTGCGAGGTGCGGCAGCTATTCAGATACATGCATTCGTGAATCAATCATGCAAAAACATCACGTGAATCTTCTCTTTTCATAGAGTCCTATGTAGGAAACTGTTCCGAGGTCGGAGACAAACAAAAACCATCAAGGAGTGTCGGTATAAGTGACAGCTGCTGAAGCTTCTTTCCTCCTCTGCTCCGTCTCTCAACTCTAAAAGTACACCATACAGCAACTAAATCCATGAGAGCCACTGCCAACAAGTTTCTGTAAACAAGGCAAAAAACATGGAGAACAGCTCACATTGCATACTGGACAGCCTCTCAGATATACGGAGTACAATGGGTACAAAGGGCTAACAAACTATGGGAGCTCTGAACAGGCCATGCAGCATTTCTGTACATGTAAAACTGTTCAGCTTTGATTACAATGAGACTCAGAAAAGAACCAGCACAGTTGGAGATATATAGGTAACAATTACGTAGGTGGAGCAAGTATTAATGAAAATCTAGAATCTCAAGGTAAAGTGGTGATACGATACCTGCGTGAGTCCTTCTCAGCCCTATCTCTCTTGTTGCACGCCGTAAGAGCAATGTGCAACACTTCCTGTATGCGTTACCGCTCAAGTATTCACTGTCAAAGTGAAAACGTAAGTGCATGCATGAGGTCTGGAGGCGGACCCAGTGTAAGGTAGGTGTGTGTGTGTGTGTGCACAAAAGATTAACTGACACATAGAAGAATCTAAACTGTTTAAATGTGTGGAAAGAGCTTGGCTAAAAAGATAGGGGGAGAATTAAAAAAAAAAAAATAAAAAAAATCATACTTAAGAGAGTGCAGGCGGCTCAATAACTTCCTCCTATTAATGGTTAACCAGATCAAAGTCTATATTTTATAATACATAGATTAAATATCTGTCCAAAGCATGTATCATTAAGTGGTTAAAGGAGGGGGATTATTCATAAAGTAATTGGGCTTTCGCACTCTTTTAGTTTCAGTAAGTGAATCAGTGAGAGAGGCAGTGAGAGAAAGAAATGCAGTAGACAAACATGTGAGCCAGCCTGTTCAGTAAGGAAGTAAAGCGTGTTTGAATGCATGCGTTTATAGCTGGAGGGGTTTGTATCATTCATGACTACACTCCTGGGAGGTGGAAAGGAGGGCCTAGAGTTAGAGTACACATGAGTAAGAGGGTTGCAGATATGTCATGATCAGACTCAAAACATGAACAGATACACGACGAGGGAGAGAAGGAAATGAAGAGAATTGAGGTGTGTTGCCAGGTATGCACTGTTTATAGCCCATACGTGTCAAGAGTATTTCACAAAAGAAGAACCGATGTGATTAAAACACCTGCCGAGAGAGGCAGAGTGGACGAGGTGAGATCAACAGCAGGAGAGGAAAGAAAAAGAGAGCAGCACTGAACAAGCCAGAGGCAACGCCTTCACTCCTTAAGTACTCCCCACTTGCTTCCATGGTAACACTACGTATCCCAGTTTGACGTGAGCGCGCACGGCGAGCTCCAGTGTGTCACTGTGGACACGCTACTGCATTAGACAACAGCTGGTCACGCTGCTGCAGACTTCAGGGGCGACGAGTAGGGGACGCTGTTTTGCTGGTGAGTAACCAGCCCCGCTAACTCGGCTGGCGCACTCACAATACGCCAAAGAGCTGCGTGTATATGCGTGTGTGTGTGTGTATGTGTGTGTATATATATATATATATATATATGCATGTCCAGCTACGCTAGGTCCCTTTGGTCTGGATGCAGTAGCAGCTGGAAGCCCCCTTTTCAAGCTCGTTATCTGCTTTTGAATAAAAGCTGCAGCAGGCGATCGGACGCAGACAGTCACGGCTCTACTTCTACCCCCGGTGGGACTGTTTAAGACGCCAATGTCTATGTGAGGACCACCTGTCACTCAGGGCCAGTGACCATGGCAACAGGCCCTGCGCAGTGCAGAGGGGAGGGGGAGCGAGGGTACCATGGTAATACGAGGGCAATGCCTCGTTTTTTTAAAGAGACAGGAGCCCCCTCCATAAGTTGGTGACGTGTGATTTATTCTTTAGTCATACGAGATCTTCTTGCTTCATTTATTTGACCGGGAAGATGTCCTTGACGGGACTATAGGAGACAAGGGGAGAAGGCAACAGGAGCCTTGTTGCATTTCTGTGTCACCGACTCAATGCAGCGAACTTGATGCAAACATCAAGTAAAGGATCAAAGGGGAAATGATGTTGTGTACGCTTCACACAGTCAGTGTTATGAACACAGTCAGCAGACATACATCTACATTCTGGGCTTCCAGATTCACAAAAAGCAGATGTCGTTAATAGCTGAGAACAGAGTCAATGTGATGAGCAACGGCTGAGTGAAAGTACAATCAATGTAAGACTGAACTGTCCATTAGAGCAGACACTTTAGGGGCCCTGCAAAATACCTTTCCATTAACTTTGTAAACATGTGAAAAGACAGAATTTAAATTAAGAATATAATAGAGCTGCTTTACTCATAATAGAGGGCATGTTGGGCATAGGAGAGGGAATCATATTGACTAAGAGTGTCAAATGCATGAGTGAAGCCAAACCTAAGAAGGGTGAGCGATGAGAACAGAGGTAGTGAAACTGAGAATGAACTTTTTTTGGCAAAGACAAATATGCAAGAATGAATGAGGGGGGCATTAAAAAAGGTGTGAACAATGTGTTTGTCAAGTGTTACTCACTCTGAGCCTGCAGCCATGTCCAGGTACGAGGTGTCTGCTGTGTCCACCCCTACTGGGATGACTATGCTCATGACGTTCTCTGCTGATCAGTTCTTGTCCTACTGAGTCCAGAGAATGGGAGTCCAAAACACTGAGGCATGCCAGCCACAGCAGTCATTGCAGACATCTAAGTGCATCCACAAGGCCTGAGCATGTAGTAGGAGAGGAGGGTAGAGAGACAAAAGAGAAAGGGACCAGTTAGTGATGTGTACACAATGCGTGATTGATTTCATACCAAGAACAAAAGCACTTGCGAGGCTGCAGTACCAAGCAAACCCCAAATTACAAATCATAGTGAAAACGGGGTATTTCCAGAACACGTTAATGCATGATTCATACTTTCAGACCAAGAACGGCGTTTGACAGGGAAGTGTTTGATAGGAATTTCCCCTCTGACAGAGCTACCAAGCTGAGGTATTGACTGATGACAAGGGAGAGGATACAATACTGTGTAAGTGAGCTGCTGCTGCAAACTGCGCTAAAGCAGCCTCGACACGCTATCTGCCAGGAATGCACAAGGCTGCACTGTAAGGAAGCTCCCACAAAGGGGAGCAAGAGAGCGCAGAGCAGCCAGCCGCCATGAAAGGAGGGAGGAAAAACTCAACAACATGTAGAAGCCATTTTTCCCCCCTTCGACTGAAAAGGACTGCTCTATTCTAAGCACTCAATCCCACTTATCCAAAAGACGACACACACACAGAGACTCTCTCACGTATTACTGATATGAAAGCTTACATTTTGATTGTTACTACTGTTAGAGTCTCTAGTTATTCACATGGAAAAACGCTGCGAGAGATCAAGTAAGATCGTTTCATCAATAATTGACTGTCAGGCATTGAATGTAGTGCCCCTCTGGTCCCAAAGTGGGAGGTCGGTTGGACTAACTAATAAATCATATACTAGCAAAAGTATTGATATATTAAGCCATGTATTTGTGTCTGAGGCGAGTCCAGACGGGAGCATATGTGTCCGTGTGGCTGCCTCTGATTCAGAGAGTTCTGTTGATAAGCGGGATTAATGTGAGGGACAGATGCCGAGACAAAATAGGCTGGAGGTCACACCTCCGCCTGCTCATGGACACTGGGGCCAAACAAAAGGCTCAAATCGTGGCTTGGGGTCTACACGGGAGAGGGGTTACAAAGCAGGAATATGTCATGTATTTAGCAGGGACAATACTTTACACACTTAGCAAGCAATAACGCACCAAAACATGTTTCTGCACGCCTATGATGGGACTGCCTATTCTGGCTTGTCCTCTGAAACATGTCAACACACATGTCTGAAAACTGATTTCATTGCCGGGTTAATTGTCAAGGGAATTCATAGTTCACATGGGGATGAACACACAACTTAAGATTCTTTAAATAGGGAAAAAACAAACAGCCGTGAGAGTAATTTCAGGTACTAATTCCAGCAAATGCACTATTAGAGCCAGCAGGACTGGCAAGAGGCTCACAGACATGACAGCTGTCAGCTCCAGGCCTAATTAATAGCAGGAAGAAGACCCCTGTTTGTCAGCCAAGGCTGCTGATGGGATCACCCTCCAAATTCTCTTCTGATTCTGTGTTTAGTGAGTGAATGGGTTAAACAGCAGGGGCACTATCACTAGCAGAGAGGCCTTTCACGATTGAAGCTGATGTAACTAGAACAAGGATAGGCCGCTTTGCCAAAAAACACTGAAATGACAGACTTCTCTTCTTTTGTGTCATCTGAAAGGCCCAGTATGTTTTAGCACTGGTAAAGAGCTTTCCTCTGAAGCAGCCTGTTCGTTCCCTCGTCCACTAGGTTTGTCTCCATTTCACCCAGGGAATCCTGCTGTCACAACTAAGGAATGCGCACACACGCACACAGATAAACCAATACCCCCCCCCCCCCCCTGTCCTTTCAAACATTCCTCTCCATAAGGAAGATCGGTGTGCAAACATACATGCACTGCGCTACAGCCAGACACAGTTGAGACTAACAAAAGGCGGGTGGAAAAAAATTACAGTACAGCTGCATTCCTGACTAAATCTGAACTGCACTGTGACTGCCTCTGCCTGCTCCTCCTCCTACTTCCTCTAGAAGAGATGTCCATCACACTGGAGAAACACAGCCAAAGCAAAAGAAAAGAAAAATCCCCCCCCCCCTTTCCTGTGCCCAGTCACCCCGCCCAGCCGGATTTCTCTCCCTCCTCTTGTACATTTCCTAAATAAACCTGAGACAGTAACGCAGAGCGAAGGGGGAGTGTCGCAGACGCAGCTCCAAATTACATGGAGCCCGGGAGAGACCATTTAAAGTCACCTTTGGCCAAATCCACTGCTGGTTATGGAAACACAGGGGTGGGGAAAATGGGGAACATGCACATGGGAGGGTGAGTAGAAGAGGGACATGAAGAAAGACATGTAGCCAAAGTGGACAATAGTGAAAACGAGCCACGGGATGGAAGTGATTTCGGTGTGCAGAGCGTCTGTTTTCTCTAAAACCGTTCACCTCTTTCATGCGCTCCCTTCACAGATTTCCTTGCACTGTAAGGAGCTTTAGAAGCCCCTCCATTTCAGAGGGCAGCGAGGTGGGGGAGGTGTACACGGGGTCTGTCTGACAGTGACGCTACACAGCCTAGACCTGGGTGGACTCTGGGTGGCAGAGTGGAGCACATATAGCGTAAGCCAGTCTCTCCTTTCTCCTCCTTCCTTCCCTCCTTCAGCAAGGGGACAGTCACGTCATTGTGTGGGGGGAATAACTATCCTTTTAAGACCGAACCGCACTGAAGTCAGTGAGGGAAAACCCACATCACCACACTCTAAAAATCCAATGCCGCTACAGACGACAGCTTTCCTCTCTTCTCAGCTTATTACCACCGCTCTATGCGTAAGTGTTTTAATTCTTGTTTTCGCAGCCAAGTCTCGGCAGATTATGCTTTTCGTTAAGTAGGAGGAGCAACAGAAAATGAGGGATTCCAACTGAACCCCCCCCCCCCACCCCACCAAGCTGATGCGACTTCACACCGTTCTCAGAGCTGGCTGCAATGACTCAGCTCATAAACAAATGGATTAAAACAAAACTCTTACAAATGCAGTCATGTACACAGGAAGAAGCGTGACCCAGATGGAATGTAGGCCCGGCCCTCTTCTTCCCGGTACCCACAGTGGGACACACTGCATCTGCCCCGTCCTTCATAAATCAGTGTGCCCATGGCTGCCAGAACTCCCTCTGCACTTGAATACTGAAGGTGAAGTCATACATCAATACAGCGGGGGATACGGTCCACACAAGCAATTTTTTTTGTGGCCACAATAGGAACTGTGCTGTTGAGAGTGTAAGCCAATACCTCAGCTGACTGTAGAGATCAGCCAATTTAGGAGTCAGATGATGAGGAGAGTGTCTTATAACTAGCAACTAGTAAACAATAAATGAGACAATTTAGGAGGATTTTCAGGGGCTGCCACATGTTACATCTGCAATGGCATATTTATATGGTTGTGATGTGGTAAAATGTGAGACATATAATCCTAATGCAGCATCCTAAGGACAGAAAAGCAATATCCTCTGTGCTAAGTTCAAACAGTCAGGGAGTGTGTGAGTTAAAGTCAGTAGGATCGGGATCTGGCAGCAAAGCTGGGGCAGCCCTCCTGTAGTCCGAGTAATGTCTGTTCAAGAGAGCCCCGGGGCACCATCTCTCCAGCTCCCTCTCGCTCCTGCTTAAGGAGTATCACTGCCACGCTCTGTGTGGTCATGGGTGAGTCCGTTTTTAACATTTAACAAATCAGACATGTGTACGTTACATTGCACTGCATCTTTAGCTGTGTGACTGAAGGCCGATACTATTTCGTCTCTCGTTCATGGAGCGCTATCCTGGCACACATGCATGCAGCTAGAAGCTAATTACAGCATTTGGAGAATGCAATGTGCAGCTAACTAAAATTTTAGGTATCAATGTTCATGCGGGTCCAGAGAAAATGGAGAGAGACAACTACAACATCTACGGGCAAAAGAATAGTAAGAGCTACTCAGAGGTCCCATTAGAGCAGTGTTCGAGGATCAATTTCACGCCTGGTCCGCAGTGCCGTTACATCACCAACATTGATGGCATATCCCCCCCTTTATTCAGCCCATCCTGCCTCGTGCTACTACCCATGCATGCTATTGTAAGACGGGCACAACAACAGGAAGGAGGTGAAGGAGGTGTGGTAGGGCTGCAGCATCAGCAGCCTCAGCCCTAAAGCCACCTGTCGGGGAGGCAGCTTGCTAGCTTAAAGAGGGATCTGTTAAGGCCCAGCTAGCTGCACAAAAACAGGTCACCTGAGCCCTTCTCCTCCCAGCTGAGATACCATGTGACTGTGTTGGGCCCCAGAGCCAGGCAGCTTTGTCTCTGGGTCTCTCAGTGTCTGGGTATCACACAAGTGAGATCACTGGAGACCAGGCCACAGACACACAAGGTGAGGTATGCATCTATAGAGACACACACACTTCACCTACACAGATGTGCTACTGTTTCGGGGATGAGATTTTATTGTCTGGAGACTGGGATGAGCACAATAACAAGAGGAGCTCCTCCAAGTACAGGAAGAGGGTCGAAGAGAAAGCAGAGGAGTATGTGGCCTTCATCCGCTCTGTCAATAAGTCAATACACCAATAAACATCCTATGCACCTGCTTGACTTCTTTATTGTTTTCGTCTCACTCTCTCTCGCTGCTGCGCACACTGAAAAATGAAATAGTTCGGTGCTGGCTTTTTGATCTTATGCGTGTCTCGCTAGGGGTTAAGTTGAGAGGAAAGGTGTCATCTGAGACTACTAGTCTCCTTGCCACCTGCCATAGTTGCCTGTCCCTGTGGCAGCTCACCTCCAGTCACCATCTCTGTCAACAAAGCAAGCAAACACACTTTGCTGCCGCACAAGGCAACCAGGCACACATACAGCTGGTCCGGTATTTAACACTTTCAGCTACAATATCATGTAGACAGAAGAGGG